TATATATATATATATATATATATATATATATATATTGTCTAAAACATTACTATTTAATATATTCACTGGATTCACCGGTGGCAAGAGCCATCGGTATCATTTTGGTTTTTTCAACTTTCAGGAACTTATCATTAAATCATTTGTTCCATGAGAGCGTATAACAAGTGCTGAACACTCATAACGGTATGTTAAAAAGTCAACAGGCTGAACGTTACTTTGTCACGTTGAAAAACAGTACTTTCGGTCCTGATCACTTCAAAATTTTACTGTTGAGCTTTGCGTTTGACTAACTCAAGCGTTTATCATATTTAGCACTCTTGGAATTAGTCTTTATATGTTTTAGAAAACCGGGTGATGATTCTTTTCGGGAGCTAGATTAACGGATTAATTTTACGCTTAAGCTTTAGCAACTGCATCACCATATGTAACGCATGATTTTTTATGGGTTTCGCTTGCTGCGATAATAGTAAATCAAGAAACAACAGTGGTTTTTTTCTTAGAAAATTTTTATTTCTTAGATGTCATTTAGATTTGAGAGTGAAGAAACTGACTATTTTTTTGACCGCCTATTTAATCCTTGAACCGATCATGTTTTTGCTTCGTATTAATCGCACACCGTGCGAAGCAGGAGGGCTTGGGATTCTCGTATCTGTCTCATATCTCTGTATTTATGCATTTTTGTATACTACTTAAGGATTCTTCTTTTTTTAGGAAAGGGAAGCTTCGTTTATGATAAACTATGTTATATTAAACTGTAAAATGTTCTGTTGTTTAATCCGATAATTTCGTCAAGACCAGTAACTGAAATTTATGGGAAGGACGAAGGAAGCTGGGTCTTTTACTCATAAGCGGTCAAAAGGTAAAGATCGAGGAGGGTCAGCCGTTAAAACGGGTTTCGATGGTCCTCTACAAGCTCCGTGTAGGAAAACAGTGTCAATTTTCAAACAACCTGTCACTTTAGTACACACTACGAAAAGAGAAACAAAAAACACTTCTGCTGAACAATTGCGACGAGGTACACGTGGAGGGCGTTCTAAAAATGAAAAGCCACATCAGGTAAAATTGACTTCCAATGAATTATTTTTTTTATAACTATTGTGTTATTCTTCATTCTGCTTGTCATCCTGTATTTTTTTTTTTTTTGCTACAGCCTGAAAGAAACCATTTTCTACTTGTGGGGAAGAGTTTTAGAAGTTGTCCTTTCAGTTGTTTTGGGCGAAGGCTTTGGAAGGTTTGCAAGCAATGGTTCCTGTACGGGTGTACGACCGTTTAAATGCGGACGATAACGAGTATATACCGCAGAATTTAAACCTGGCAGGAAAAATGGAACCTGCTTGCAATCTTCTTGGTAACAGTGCATCTGCAGCTACAGTTTGCGCTGCGATTCATGCACACCAAGCAGTTGATGCTATTCTAAGGAATCCAATAACTGGACAAGCTTCAACAGCAAAACAGTTTGATACCAACCCAACAATTAGTACGAATGTTGATCAACCATTTGTGCAGGTAGTTACCAGCTGATTTTTACAGTATAAGCGCAACAGTAACTTGATAACACTTTTGTTTGTTATAAAGTTACTGAGTTTTTTGTCAAACATTTTTGTCACTTTCCTGTCATCTTTAGGTTTTGTCAGTGAGTGACCAAGACATGCAGACTCAAGAGAGACGAGTATTGGATTTACGGAAAAGACTGCAGGAAGCGCGGAAGCATTTTCATGTATAGTCTCTATTTTTGTTTTACCTGTTGTGTTTTAATTGTGTTCGTTATTGCAGAAAACCTGTTTTTCATTTCGCCTAATTTTTGCCAAGTGTCTTCTTTGAAAGTGAGTTCTAATTGGAATATTAGGACTTAATTGTCACAATATTTTCTTCTGGGTTATTGGTTTTATCTTTTTTTTTGTCACTAAGAGCATTTTCAGGTCTCAGTTTATGTTTTTAAAATGTGGTTTGTTACTTATCTAAAGCTTTGGTTTAAATCGTGAATGCCTTATATGTGTGTTATTTATATGTGTTACTTGTGTATTATTTATTGATCTCTTTGCGGTCTGTTAGCCTTTTGTCAGTTCACCTTAAGGGAAGTTTAATGGGAGTCAAGCCTGCATTTGGAATGTTGAGGATTTTTGGACCAGGTCTCTTGCAGCCGCATTATTCCAGTTTTTACTTGTTTTGAAAGAGTAATTCTTGAACGGTAGGGAAGAATGCGGCTTATTTGCGGACTCGTTTGTTGCTTATGAAAGAAAGTAAATGAAACGAAATTTTCAAATGGTAATTCAGACTGGGAGGCTTACAGGCTGTCTTTCGAAAATTCCGATTTGATTGCTGGAAGAACTTTTGTTTTCTTTTCGGCACTTCTCATGCAATTTTAAAGAATGCTGCTTTGTTGAAGGATTGTGTATTTTGAGTTCGTTGTTTGATGAACTTGGGGAAATGTTTTAGCGGCTATCGTACTAACTTGAGGTTCTTTGTGATATTAATTAATATGAATTTTAAAAAAATGCCCCTTGTTTATGAGATGATTTGGAAGGTAACGTTACTTGGAGAGGGAAATAAGGTTTTTTTTGGCAGATCTTGCTGTTGCACTGCGACCTCTTTAATATTTTATAAAATATTGCAAACTATAATGTATTCTTTCATATGACTTCAAAGAAGCACTAAGGGAACACATGATCAGATAAATGTTTTTGGCTTCATCTGGTTCTTCGTAGTATGATCGGAGTTTGGTCTTGGCAACATTTCGGCATTTAAGTTTGAATCGGAGTTTTTTTTTATATGAACGAGTCGTTGGGGAAGATTTTTGTCGGGGATTCTCTGCCTTTTCAGTTTCTAAACAGTTGTTTTGTACATGTCGTAAAATACTGATTTTTTTGGTTTCGACAACTGGACCGCTTGATGTATGTTCTGTATTGAAGTGCTGGTTTATGCTTGCTATAATTTTGCTCATGGATTGAGTGCCACTTATAACCGTAGACAAGGTTTCGTTTCCTGAATTGCCGATTATTTTCCAGCTGTAGTTTACCGTAGGACTGTCAAAGTCAACAGCACCTTTTCGGACCTTTTAAGTTCAATTTCTGATCGCTAATGATGAAAGGCAGTTCATCAGCAGCGAGTCGTTTGCTGGATAATTGAAATAAGGATTTGGTTGTACTGAGTGTGCGTATTTTGCTGACAGTAATATTGAACTGTTTAAGCTAATTTTCTGTTTGCCTAATATCAGTTCATTTATTTTTTATCTGTTGTTTTTTGATCTTAAGAAGTTAGGAGTTGGTTAAATTATATTAAAAACTGTTTTTATTGAGTGGGAGAGAACTAAAGGTGAGCAAGATGTGAAATTTTTCTCTGTTTAAGAACAAAAACTTGATTTTTTTTTTCTTCAAAGAGATTTTTTGTTGGAGAAACGCTTTGCACAAAAAACTTGTTATTTTTGTTTTTTAAGATGCCTAGAAATCAGAAATTTTTTTGCATTTTTTCTCTTCAAATTTTTTTGTTAGTCAAATGATAAAACTATAATGGGAAATTGCTGCTAAAGGGATTCTGCTCAGTGATATGTCATTTTTATCGACTAGGTTAGTCTTCTATATTGAGCAGTTTTTCAACAACAAGGAGCATTTGCATAACTTTTTGTTGTTTCCAGTCTTATTGCTGCTTAAGTTTAAAAGAAAAGGAGTTTTCTATGGACATAGTGTACTTATTTTAACATATCGCTTTGCTTCAGTATAGTATCGGTGATAAGTGGCATAAAAATTATCTTTTATTCTTTTTTGTTTTTGCATTGGATAAGGAGGCGTCTGAAGCTGGTGAGTAAAAATTCTAAGAATTATAAGTGTTCAGAAAGCAAAAGGTGATCAGTTTAATGACTATTATTGGACTATATAGTTTGGTAGACACGATCAATTATAAAACTTTTCTATTGTATTCAATTTTAAGGAGAAGAAGAAAAAAAATAAATAAATAAATAAATAAATGAATGATTGCTACTGTAGAGAACAGTTGATCGTTTATAGTTGTTTTTGAAAAAGACTGGTTTGGTCAGTTGTATTTTCAACTTCGTTTAGCAGCTCGTCGTAGAACATGCTTTTTATTCTCTAATTTTAGAAGACTCAGTATGATTTATAACCACTTGTTATCATTTTGCAGCAATTTAGATTTTAATTTGTTATTATTGTTGTTTTAGTCTCTTCAGTTTTTTTTTTTTT